CCTTCATAGTGGAAAAGTTGTATCCTGCCTTGAAATCCATAGGAGATGCAACTTTTACACCATTCTTTGAAAGGAACCAAGATAATCCACTGTTTCCATGAAGTAACTCAACAACATCAGGATGATCATCATTACAGAAGAAAAAGGACTGTTCTCCAAATTCGGCATCAACATACAGTTCGTGATCTTCACGTAAGTTCTCCGGATTCTCATCGTCTAATGCCGGTATGGAAACATCATGCCACTCATCTGATCGCGTCTAACCTTTGACTGATTCACACGTATCACTGCCTTACCAGTATTGGCTTGGACCATAGCTCCTTCTTGTCCAAGTACTGTGGCACGAACCCAACGTCCTTTATCCTTGAACTTTGATGAATCCTGAGTCCAAACAAAAACCTTCTCTCCTTGGAAATAAGGACCGTCACTTGGCATAGTCCTTCTTGCAAGATCTGCTCGAAGGTCCTGAGCTTGTCGTGCTTCTTGATGAGCTCTCAAGGCCACACGTTGTAGTTCCAAATTTGTACGATCTTGTGCGGCGGCATTAGCTGACAATTGCTCAGGGCTTGCGGTCTCAAGGTCAAAAAGATCTGGTGGACGTCTTCCAGTTGCTATCTCTATTGGTGAATATCCACTGATAGTCAACTGACAATTTCTTGCCCAAACTACCTTCTTGACCACTTCTCTGACCGTAACACCACGAAAACGTGGGTCATCCAGATCTACCTTCATAACATGCCACATACGTTTGAACAAACGTACAGCTGTCTCTGCTCGGTTCGGCCAAGGAGTTCTTGGCCCACAAGGACATTGTTGTATACCATGGAACCTGTAGTATTCAACAAAAGCATCGGTGAAAAAGGCTTCGTCTCCTACGATGGCCTTTGGAACACAGTTGTTCTCATCAGACCACTGCCTCAATGCTTGGATGGTGGTTTGATCTATGAGGTCTTTCTGTGCCGTAGCCCAGAGAAGATTTGTGGCACCATCAAGAACAAGTAAGATGATATACTTGTTCTTGTGAAGTTCAACCTCACAATGATCAGCAAAAACAACATCACCAAAACATGAAGCTCTAATACCGGAGACTCTGGCTCGTGGCGGAGGTGCCACTGAAGTGTTACAAACACGGCAATTCCTGACAACTGATTCATACTTCTCTAAAACAGAGTCAGGAAGCTTCAGCATAGAAACACGTCTACGAAACTGAGTAGGACTCATATGGTAGTGCTTCACATGAAGCTTATAAAGCTCTACCTTGTCCTCCAGTCTCTGTAACATCTTCCTATATGCCGGTGTCATTGCAACAACTTCACTACCAGGTAATGGGATTGAAATCCGCCTAGGCTCAAGAGCGCCATCACCTGGTTCAAGTGGTTCATGTTTATCACTTGATGGTCCTTTTGATGCTTTAGGAATTTCTACAAGTTCACCTTCTGGCCTCTCAGGTGGTTCTGAGGGAGCATACTCCTCAAGATCATCACCCTTTAAATCATTCTGAGGCTCAGATGGTTTCGACTTGTGTCCCTTCCAAAATGGATCAAAACCCTTGGAAGTATACCGAAACTTTGGCGGCACGGGCTTTTCCGCAGCACTGGCTGGTGCACCTTCCTTCTCTGACGAGAAGCCTGGTTCCCTGTCCTTTGCAATGGGAACCTTCTCTGAGGAGGAGCGCACCAATGCATCGGGATCACCAATGCCACGGTGCTCAATGCCAGCCTTCCTGATCTTTAGATCTGGAATTTTGGCATCTGGCTTGAACTTAAAAATTGTTCTACCACGCCATTCATAGCCAATTTGTAGGTCCTTCCACTTTGCCTTGCGCCAATCATCTTGCTTCTTGATCTCTTCTCCTCCTTTCTTCTTCTTGATGATTGTCAGTCGCAAGTCTTCCAGTAAGTCAGTGTCTACAGGACAGGACTTAGTCGCTGGAAAAAGAATTTTTCTATAATCCTTGTGGTGACGTATCAGTTCTCTCTTGTGAACATCTACTTCCCAGTAGTCAACCACAGGATATGCATGTTCAGCTACATCTTCATCACTATTGAGGTCAACAGAAATATGACCATATTCATAGTGAGTGAAGTGAGAGTAAAAACTCTTCTCGCGCCGAGTCTGCAAATTCACGTCAGACAGATACCATGCAATATCTTGGAAGTCCAAAACAAGATGAGTACTGGCTGCAACCTTCAACTCCAAATACTTGATACCAAGAGGCACCGATGTCAGATAAGCATGTTGAGGTGTCAGCCTGAGTTCAAAGCCTAAGTTCCTCATCTGTGGCAAGCTCATAAGCAAAGGGACTTCTCCTTCTTCCACTATGTCGAACTCTGTATGGTGGATCGTCCATGCACGATCATACATGTAAATCACCAGTTTCTGAGAGCAAGTAGCCTTCTGGGAATTGGCAAAGTAAAACTTGCTCTTGGTAGCCTCAAAAGAGTACCATAATCCACAATCTGGGTGATTTTCGACATAGTTGCAAAAATGGTCGACTGCTCGCCTTGATCCCATAGCTCTAGTGCATCCAATGTCCAGGATTGCAATAGTCGGCGGGAAGCGATTCTCAGTCAAAAATGAAATGGCCTGCATCTCCTTCACTTCTTCCTCAGCGCTCATAAGCGCAAAGCCATCAGGAGCCTTTGTGAGCATCTCCTCTGACAAAGAGTACCTCACAGGGGCACTCATGCCATTGAAGATCGCCTCACCATTGTTGACCGCGCAGTCAGCTTCATCTTGACATGAGGTCATCATGCCTGACAGCAAGTCCACCTCACTGTCATGGACTTCAGCTGCTGCTGTCACACAATGTGCAAAGAAACCTTGTTGACCTCCTGATGCTTGTGAAGATCTTGAAGGTGCAGGTAAAGAACGTGGCTGTTGTTGATTTGCATAGTTTGCATCTTGTTTGCCATCTCCTTTATCTTTTCCTTTTCCTTTCTTGCCTTTTCTCTTGCCTTTTCCTTTTCCTTTGTGGGAAAACCATGCTTCTTCAAGCTGTTGCCAAGAGTCATTGGCATCATCATATTCTCCTTGAAGATAGTCATTCATATCTTCGGCAAGAATGGCATCATATGCTCCTTGGTTTGACTCCCAAGTGTCCTCATAAGGATTCTCTTCAAAATACTCTTCTGGATATGTTGTCTGTTGCTCATCAGCAAAATGGCCTTTACCTCGTCTCTTTCCTTTTCCTTTTCCACGAGGTCTGAAAAATCTGCGGCCTGATCTTCCTTTACCTTTTCCTTTTCTTCTTCCTTTTCCTTTGCCTTTCCTGGCTCTTCTTCCTTGGAATCTCCTTTGGAACCACGAGAAGTTTTGATCATCATATACCCAAAAGACATCGTCCAGGGCATCTAGAAATCCTTCTGTTCCATCTTCTTCATCTTCGGCCCAATAGCCAAATGTACCATCGAGTTCTCCTTCGTCTAGTACGAGAAATGATCTTCTACCTCCAGCACCTGTTGGCTGCATCAAAGGATTGTCTACTGAAGTCTTTGTCGTGCAGAACATCTCGATGAACACTGTCCTCAACTCTGTTGTAGTGTACTGCTGCAGGACCCTGCCACGATGAGTCATCAAGGAAGTCAAAGTGTTTCGCTGGTCCTGAGACAGATCTGCAAGTGACAGCATGAGTAAGGCAATGAGATTTTCTCCTAGAGGAAATTCGTTCTGATGAAAAGTCCTCATATTGCCATTGATGGTCTGCATGATTTCCTGAATCCTTTCTGCCGTTGGTGCTACTCCAGTCAACGCTGCATCTGCCTGCATCTGAGCTAGGACTTGTGGATGTGCTTGAGTAACTGGTTCTAACATGTCCATCCAACTGCTCATAAGCCTTTGGAGTAAAATCTGGAATCTTGTCATCCATTTCATCATGTCAGCTGATCCTCGATTGAAGCGCACGAATTGCATAAATCTATACAGGAATACATTGGTTGATCCCTTCACAAAATATGGTCGTAGTACTCGTTTGAAACATTCTACGCCGGCTCCTGGTGGATCATTTGCCTTCAATGCATCTCTGTCTAAAACACGCTTGTATACAGCTGCTTCTCCTTCTAATCTGTTTCTCAGTGCTGGTCCTCTCTTCTCATCCTCCAGCTCGGTGATATCACACCAATCGTCTATGGCATCCTCATAGGAAAACCATGAAGTCTTTCCATCATAAGATGGGGGCACCTTTGTAGTGACCTGTGTTGTCATTGCTATTGCTGCTGGTTCTCTTCTCACATGCCTATTCACGTAGGCTGCTGGCTCATAAGCCACATCCGCATCAGGCTCTTCCCAGTCGTCAATCCAATCCATGGCCGTTTGCCCACAAGCAATTCTATGCCTAGGAAAGGAGCTCACCTGGGTCTTCCAGGATCACTGCTCCGCTACCACTGAAAGAGTGACTAGGGCGTACACGGTAGAGGTGCAGACCGCTAGTGTCTTTTATGCGCAGAGTCTTATCCTCTTGCTCTTTGAGCCTTGAGCAGTCAAGCATGGACACACTATATCAGCTGTTGGAGTGGAACCCTGTACAGGTAGGCTCTACTTTTCAGGGGGGGGGTTAGCTTGATATATCAATCTTTAAGGCACGCAGCCCCTCCCACCACAACATTGCTAAAGCAAAGAAGAACTCAGCTAGCATGCTAGCTTTCGTGAAAAACTAAGACCATCCCAGTTACATCCAGTTACCAAGAATCAGGGGCCCTCAGTCGGTACTACAGCTATTTAGTCTTTGGAACCACTGGTCACCTACTATAGTGGTCACTGGATCCACTGGGCCATCAATTGGGCGACCGTCATGGCACGTGCCGCACGGTAGCCGCACGGTCGCCCCTGGTGCCCTCGAAAGAAAGCTGGATGCCTGATGAAACATATCACCCGTGATCGACTTACCTTCCTAAGATCTGAGAAGAGAGGTGCCTGGGCAATGCATCACATTCATCGCCTCATCACACCATCAGACCGCCTCGGCTTGGCGGCTTCGGCACGGCTCCACTTCGGCAGCCCGCCTTGGCCCGCTTGATCATCTGATCCGCCACCAAATGTTGCGCAGGGACATCGACCTGGCGGCCCCCGGGGGGGGTTGTGGCTGTGGCCGGCCAGCAGCTCACAAGCAACACACACAGCAACGAAGAGCACAGAGTAGTCATCTCATGTCACCTCAGGTGGTGTGCCATGTTTCTGTGCTTATCGACCTAACAGCAAATCACAGCCTTTTTCATCCATACAGCAACTATGGCTGAGTTCCGGGAGGAGCGTGACTTCGTCTGGGCATCCCTCATCAGGAACACCCTGAGAAAACACATGAAAACTTGAGGCCGAGGGTAGGTGACGAAAGCTAGCAGGGGTGCATCCGGAATGGTGGGACATCAAGCGGAGTGAGGCAAATGCTCATGAGGTAAAACGTTGTGAACATGTAAGACACACAAACAGCAATGACACAGCCAACCTTAGAATTGAAGTCCCCGATAATTAAGGAAGCGTGGCTGGACTTTGCCACACTGTTCGATGCATCCGATGTGTTCACGAACCTGTGAGCTTGTTGAATCTGTTGCACCGTATCCCAAAACCTCCAGGGAGGAGTTGAACCAGTGTGGATGCCACAAGAGGTGCCCAAGACGTGTCCCAGAGGCAAAACAAAGCTGCTTGCATGATTTGTTTGGTTTCTTCTATCGATGTCGATGTCATGAACATGTGAGCTTGTTGAATCTGTTGCACCGTATCCCGGAGGAGTTAAGCCAAAGTGGATGCCATAAGAGATGCCCGAGAGTCCCAGAGGCGTTCGAGGGAGGAGCCACGGGGGGGGGGGGGGGCCCTACATATGAAGTTCCAGCCCCTCACTTGCTAAAGCAAGGACAACTCCAGCTAGCTGGTGCTAGCTTTCGTGATTATTTCAACCCCTGTTTGAGGGATTCTGTCCATCTCCTTGGGGATTACGGGATTACTATCAAGTCTTGTCAGGACTGATATGTTGAAGGAGGATTCGCGTCTTGCACGTATGATTTGTATCACCAAGTCGCATCTGTCGGGGGGCATTCAACCAGCCACCTACTAGTAGATGTTATAATCTCTCTTTCTCTCTCTCTCTCTCTCTCTCTCCCTCGGTCCAGCGGTCCACCCCGGAAATGAGCCAGAGTCACATCTTTGAGCCAGCCACAGCGTTTGGGACAGTCAGTGCCATTGGTGCCAAAACAATCCGACATCTCCTGAGGGGAAGGCCAGGCGCTCTTTGTTGAGAGGGCGAAGCTGCCAACATCCCCTCGTGATCCCCTCCCGGAGCTCACCACCCTAGTGGTTGGAGCTCTCTACAAGGATGGCTGATCTTCGGTGTTGATCCCAAGATTCTTGCCAACGAAGGTGGGCATCAGTTGATGTCAGGGCCCCTGACAAAGTGCTCCTGTGGTGCCTTCTGAGGCGAGGGCACGTGATTTGATGATTTATTCCCGATAGCCTGTAGCCTGACCAATTTCTGCAACATTTAGGAACCTGTAACATGACCATACCAAAACAGTCCAGGGGCCAACAACTCAATGCCCATCTAGCGTTCCAAGAAATTACCAATCCCTGTCAGTACTTTGAACGACACCCTAAATGGCATCAAAGCACAATGAAGCAGGAAACACTCGTGCGCAAAACACAAACAAACCAGGACCAAGACACTCTCAACAAAAAATCTAGCACAGCTTCCATTCCTTCAAAATACCCACTTCCATGCCTTCTTCTTCGCCACCGGCGAGAACAAACACTTTGCCCTCACGCACCGCGTGCACACGGTGAGAACACCGTCCCGTCTCCGTCCCCCGAGGCTCCGGTGTGGTGCAGGTCAGGTCGTGCGTCTTCGCGTCAGTTCGGTAGCGGCCCATGGTGTGGGGCCCCATGGTCTGTCCGCCTGAACCGACGACGAGGTCCCGAGCGACGTCGTCGACCCGCGTCCCCCCGAGGCGGGTCCCAAGTGGTCCAACGGTGATGGTTTCAAGGCCCGAACGTGGGCGGTTGGACAGAGTGATCCAGTCTGATTGAAGCATTCAGCAGTCATGGTCACTGAAATGCCAATTCAAAGAGCGGCACTGTACCTGCAGGATCTCAAACAAGCAACATCTAAAAAAATATCAAAGGGCATCAAAGGGCAGCTTGCATACACAATCTCCTGGTTATCTTCCCTGCAAAGATCCCGTTCTCTCTCTCTCTCTCGCGCGCGCTCGCTCGAGTCTCACACCCTCGGCCAAGGAGGCCAGGCCTTTGTATTGGATGATCTGACCTTGGATTTGATTCTCAAGACTGAATGCTCACAATCGCATATACAAGCACGAACGACGACTGCAGCAATCCAGGAGCTAAAACGCTAAAAGAGTTCCAGCAATCCTCACGGGGATCCTTTTCGGGTCCTTTTGTGTTTGCCTCTTCCTGTCTTGAAGGGAGGTCTGGCCAGAGCAGTGAAGCATGAAGTTGGGCGACTGCAAGCAGTGATGGGCATTTCAGGCACCAATTCATTGGAGTCCATCGGAGTTCTTACCCTGACTCCACCTGAGTTGGAGGAGCCTTTTGCAAGTCTGCAGCGCTTCTTGGTTCTGTCAGGGGATCCGAAAAAAAGGAACCCATCAGGTTGTAGCAAATCACCTTCCATCGGCATCTCCTTTGAAACCTTCCGCACGGTATGCCAAATTCTACGGCTCCGTTTCGAGAAAAGCACTTCCCAAGCACCGAGCGGCTGTTGTGTGGCAGGGTTCCGGCCAGGCCGCCCCAGTCGCCCACAGCGAAGACGTGCGTGTTGGTGCCGCGGATGGTCATCTTGGGCCACTCAATGCCGTTGTATTCCTCGAAGCTGGGCAGGGTGGTAGGTGGTGCAGCGCTGCGCGTGGCTGCCGTTTCGCAAAGAAACGCTGGTGCTGGTCATCCATATCCATCTTCGCTGCTACTTCCTGCTCTGCTTTACACACACAGCATAACCTTAGACCCTGTATGTCCCTGGGTTGGTAATTCCAGCTAAGGTTGGTACCCGAACGGTTCAACGATGTCCGCCAAGCCTCAAAAAGCGCTTGCCTGTCACATGTGGTACGTACTTAAAATAGAAACCTGCTCCCCCACCCCGCACACGCATCCACACGCATCCGCGCGCGGCCGTGCTCCGAGCATCAAAGGGGTGTTTCGGTGGCTTGATGCCGCGCTTCGTGCGCGTGAGCACCGATTTGGGAAAGTGGAGCGGGTCATCCGGCAGCCCGCCGCTGCAAGGCCTGGGGCAACCGCCCTCTCCGCTGCGGTAGAGGGAGTCCTGCGGAAGTCAGTCAGGGCGGAGGGACAGGGATGTCTACACCCGGGATGCGTAACATGGAACCTGAACATGGACTCCATGGACCTTTGAAAAGACTGTTTTCCTCTACTAACCACTGGTGGTGTTGAGAGGTTCCATGTGGACCTCTAAGCCGGGTGGTGGCTGGGGTGGCTGGTGGGACCTGCTTTGGAACGACCATGGCCCTCCGGAAATCGGAACCTGTGGGAGCTCGCAGGATGCCCGGAACGTCTTTAAAAACAGCTTTCTCCAATGCAGTGCGTTGGATGAGGGAGTACGAGTTGCAGAGTATGAGTTGTAGACACCACTTGTGGATGGTGTTCCTTCACAAGCGCAGGTCCTTTCTCCATGACGCCCACGGAAGGATTACGGATTTCCCTACCGCTCTGGGGCCGCACTGCGCCTGAAACTTGGTGAAGGGCGATTGAGGCGTCACACCGGGATACCAACCTGAGACAAGGATGGAGGGCCAGCGTGGAGGAAAGCTGCAGGAAAGCTATACAGCTTGTGTGGCCGCGCTCCAGCGTCCTGCGGTCCTGCTCTGGCTGGTCTCAAAAAGACTGGCCTTACTAAGCCTTACTAAAGGATACTGAAGGGGCCAAAAAAAACTTGGGAATCGAACTCACCGCCCTCGTCTCTTTTCCATCACCTCTTCTCCCAACCCAGGCCTCGCTCCCTCACATCTTGCATCCTGGAAGCTTGGGTTGGCATAGATCCCATCACTCATGGCCCACTTCACCTGCAGTCTGACTCCGCCAGTGGTCACCCTCTGCCCAAGCAGCTAGCAGTACTCCCAACCTTCCTACATGATATATCCATCGTCTCCATGGCATTTCCCAAAGGGGACAGCCTGCAAGCCGCCCCCCTTCCCCCATCGCATCGTGCACCATCAGCAAGCCCCGACCTTCTTGAAGCAGTCGGAGCCCGCTTTGGGGATGCCGCAATCAGGATCAACCTCTGGCTCATCCATATCCTCTGGCTCTTCCTCAAGAAGGGGAGCAAGGGTACATAATAGGAAAAATCGTGTCAGGATCTAAAAGAAACTGGAGTGATCAAAAAGACCTTTCTGAGATCAACATAGATCAACTTTTCCGGACGGAGCGAGGAATGGGAAAAGGTTGCCTTTTGGGGGGGATGAGGTGGCAAGCAGAACATCATAAAGCCCAGATTTGATAAAATCCGTTTACTTAGCTTTTCCATATTCTTTCTATCTAGGGGCATCAGTGCAAACAAAACCAAATGCATGTACCGACATGCTTTTGCGAAGGTGCGAGAACTTGTCGGCTTGTGCCCGGCCCGGCAATTACTTCCAAGCTGCCTGGCTTAGCAGGGTCCAAGTGGGGTGGTGTTGGATCATAGAGGGTCCAACTACACTGCAGTCACATTTGGAAGCAGAACATGGGCCCCTGAAATCCTTGGAGTCCCTGTTTCGTCCAGTTTCATCCACTGTCCGGTAGGCCTTTACAAACTTTATACATGTAATTTAGGTAGGTCCTTGCATGCTAAGCTGGTCCCCTCTCGTGAGGAATCGGTCCTTGGTCCTCCGAGGTCATCGTGACCGCCGAGGCTCCGTGGTCGTGACCACCGCGGTGGACGTGGAGTCAGAGCCTTTGGCGTCGGTGACCTCGCCCTCGCTGCCCTCGCTTCCTGGCGGGAGGGGATTGATGATCCAGGATGAATGGATACACCATCCATGCACTCCTAGTCTACCGGCTTCGGTTCTTGGGCTCCTAGCCTACCGGCTTCAGTTCTGGGCACTGGGCTTTTTCAGAATGGTCTAAATAAATTCAGGTGAGAAGGTATTTGGAGCGGCTCCGGGCATTTTGCACATGACCATATTGCCTCATGAGTTCAAAATCGTTGGCGTCCATTATAGATAATGGTCCTAAACAATCATCAAGAACCTTTCTAAGTCATTGGTTAGCCACTGTTGGGCTCCAGTGACCGAGCGCGACAAACATGACAAGCCGTGACCGATTCTAAGCTGGTCTACCAGGATTGCGAATTTCGTGCTATGGTTTGCAGTCTTGAATTTCTCTGTTCCCACCACGCCACAAGTCCGGAAACCAGTCCTTTGCCACCTTCTTCAATGCCCCAAACAGTAGGCTCTTGGCACTTGCCGCCCTCAAAAACGGAGCCCTCCAAACCTCACTGCACCCGGGTTTTACCAAGCTTCGCACCGGCACAGAAGGGTGCTCAAAAATGGCAGTGGCCTTTGAACAGCTCTTTTGTCGGTGAATATTTAATCTTAAAGCACTAAGTTGGAAGAATGGACCTTGCCCTATGTGTACCCTAAGAGATACTCCTACGGAGCATGGAGGACATGGGAGTGACTTCGTTCAGGCTGGTTGCCCAAACGAATAACCAACAAAAAGCAGTGCAGACTCACCATGCTGACTCCAAGTCAAGCAAAGGACAGCAACGCAAAAACTATTTGCCTAAAGAAGTCCGAGCTATATATTAATATACATTAAACAAATATGGACATAACAATCAATAATATTCAATAATTACATAAATTGTATTTATGTTTTTTTGTGTGATAGAAGGAGCCAATCAACATTTGGGTTCAACACCTTTGCCCTAAGTTCAGCCACGCCACAAAAGCAATAGCCCTCCATGCACATGGCAGGCCCCTCGGAAGGCTCGCAGTAACCTGAGGAAGGCCCGCAGTTTGTACCGATCTCTGTCGGCACTGTCGGTATGATGAACTTGCACCACCGACCGTGAAAGAAACCACGGTGAAATGGTCTTCCAGGACCCAATACACGGTGTTTTGGGACCCTGATGGACCCTGGGCACCTGGGCGCCCAATTGGTTTCTGGGCGCCTAGAGTTAGAGACCTCCAGGATTCTTCCCAGGTGGCAGGTCTCGTCTCCCCGAGGGGAGGTCTGCTGCATCCTGATCGGTGCCGATGGTCCACCGAGGTCCACCGGTGCTTCCGATGGCTCGAGCCCCGGCTCCCTAATAATGACCCAAGCAACCCACGGGTTGACGATATATGAAACAGTTTGGAAAATTAATTTTAAAAGTGGCAAGATGAGCTTCAAACAAATTCCAGTGATTATAAGATTGTTTTCCAATGTTGCTCATGTAACAAAACCAACAAATCCATCAACGCTCTTGCTACCTTGCCGGGTCCCGTTGACCGTGTCGAATTCCGTGTCCTAAATGCCGCCCAGGCACCCCGCACGCTACACGAGGCACCCGTACGGCGCAGGCCCATGTGGGTCTTGGGCTCAGCGGAGGAGGGGTAGCACTTCCCGCCCGCCGCAACGTAGCCTGAGATGGATTGAGGGTCAATAGGAGTGCAACAGGGGGTGCAGGGTTCAGGATCATCCCTGGTAGTACTAGGGGTCATCCTGGATTGAGGGAAAATTGGGTCCAAATGGGTCCAAGATGATGTACTGGGTACTAAGTCGAAAGCTCTGGGGATTTTGGCTTGCAAATCTGGCACCACTGGTAGGTTGGAGGTGGCCGTGGAAGGTCATGCGGTTTTCCAAGGACATCCTATCGTTGAGAGATGTCCGAAATCTAGCGTGATTGAACTGGCATTTGCGAGGACATCTTCTTTCATGGGCTCTAGTTCAGTCGGTGTCAAAACGATCCCCACGCAAGGTTTCACACCCTGTGATCAGCCCCAACCGTCGGTGTATGACCCCATCATAAGCGCCACGCAGCCATCTTGACAAATGCAGCGGAAGTGATGGCAAGTGGTGGGACCTCTGCTGGCTGCACAATTATGCCACCAGCAGGTGCCACCTGCCAGAAGGGCTGGCCTCTTGGAACTTCCTCACTCCAATCCCTCAAGCAAGCCGTGTGAACTGTGAACCTGCTCATTCTGCACAAGCCAGTATTGATCCATGCACAAAAAAAAGAGCCATTACTGCTGCAAGACAGGCTTGGCTGAAATGCTGTATGGATCGCTGGCTGTTACTTGATCCTCACTACTTTCAAAGGATTCCAACAGTACCCCCCTCTCTCTCTCGCTCTCTCTCTCTCTCTCTCTCTGTCTTAATGGACTTCTTGGCACATGCTCTAGAACAATGTGCAGCTGAAGTGCATCTCCGACTCTACAGTCTTGCTGCCTACAAACACATCAACCAAGCCTAGCAACCAACAGTAATCACCGGATAACTCTTAAACATTGACTCCCATCACTCTACAAGTATGATCCTCATCTGCGCTCAATGCACGGCCTGTCCATCGTCCGCCGTGCGCGAGGCCCACGTACCAGCGGCCCAAGGCCTGAAGGCCATGCGTGGCGACGGCGACCGGTGAGTCGAATTGGAATTGGAAGGTTCAATGGTTCTAGGGACGAATGCAAGACCTGTGAACATCGAACACCCACAGGTCTTCAAATTGAAAGTGATTAAAGGTGTTTTCTCATTTTTGCTGGCCGTACGCAGCTACGCAGCTAAAGGCGAAATACCACCAAATTAGAATCAAATAAAATGACCGCCTAGCGGCTGACGCCCAATCTAACTGGCTAGTTACTTCGGAAGTTTCCTCGTTGTATCTCGTTGTGAGGCATGCGGCACGCCTGTAAACCGTCAGGGCCGGAGAGCCCTGCAGGAAGGTGCCTGGAGTCCTGCAGGTGGGTTTCAGGGACAACGGAGACCTCCGATTCCACCTGAACAGCCCACACGGTCCGCCCTACCCCCTGCCTCGGTCCGCTCGCCTCTGTCGGCCTGGAGCAGCGATGATCACTGCTTTCACTTGTAAAGTGGTTTCAGAGTCGATGGCCCGGAAGGTGGTTTATATGGACGACCCTAATTTAAAGAAGACATCTTGGGGTCTGTGCCATCTACTCCGAAACCGCTCATATGGTGGAGGCATGTGGAAGCCATCACCTCACCTATCTCGCAACTGATGTAGCACCCAGCTTAGAGGAGCTTTTGAAGGAATTAGCAACATGAAACACAAATGAACCAGAATTCAATGGACCCCTCCCCAAATAAGGTGAACCCTTCCAAAAGGTCGCTGCCATGGTGCTCATTCTCATGCTAGATTCTATAGCCCCCCCAAACCGCCGCGAACCGAAATTCCATCCGGGGAGGTTCCACCTCTCCGAGCATTCACCGGCGCCTCGGTCTGCGCCGTGGCCGAGGAAGCCTCGGCGTTTCCGGCGCTGAGGCCGAGCGCTTGGAGCTTCTCAGCGCGCAGCTGCCGGAGCGAGACCTGGCAGGTCTCGCTCTCGCAGGCCTCGTCTGCCTCGCGTGGCGTGGTGAGTGGCGGGCGACTGGAGTAAATTGGTTTGGGCCAAAGGATGTGGTTTGGACCGGGAATTCTGTTTAAAACAAGTGGCGTTGCTCTCGGGTCCGGATAGCAGAATCGACGGCAGAAAAGCGCGGCTACACGAAACGATGTGTTTGAGAAGTCCGTGCATCGTGCCGTATACTGATGCATCCGTGGGAAGGCGAGGGAGGGCCGAGTGAGTCTTCGGCCTCCGTAATGGTGCGGTACTGTGGCCCAAGTCTTGGTTGGACTGGCCATCCACCTTTGGTTCGCCCCAGCCTGGTCAAAATCCACCTCTTGCGCAGAGAGGAGCGGCAGACATATGCAAAATCTGAGGAGACGAAGCATGGCGCTCCGTCCGCTCCAGCGGTTCGCTAAGAAACTAGTAGAAGTAAAGCTTTGGTGTGAATCTGAGCCCAGACCTGCAAGGAGAGTGGCTGAATGCATCCACTAGAGGGTCAATGCAACAGCGATGCAAGACGCGGGTCACACACCTGGTTTTGACATCTTTTGACTCATTGAGTTGATTAAATGTGTTTTCAAGCAAATGATCTTACAGCCTGGGGTGATCTTACAAACGCATACTGTAGTCCAATTTCACATGAACACAGTCTATTTTCATATGCTGCGGGACCACTGTGAGTGGCCGCATGGCAGCATGTGGATATGCAAAGAATGACTCGTGCATGTGGCCGTATGCCCCATGTAACAAGGCCCCATGTACTTGAAAGATCTTGAAAGTGAGCAGTGCTGATGCTTCAGTCTTGGTGGTTATACTGTTAAGTATACAGTAAGAAATCAAAGACAATTCCAACATTTTCCAATATTATCCAACAACTGCCAAATCTTCAAGTCAATTCGGTTGAACAAAACAGTTCTTGTTATATGGACACCTTTCAATCATAAATCGCTCGATCGTGTTCTGGGCGCGTGCCCCATCATTTGGGCCCCCCACATTGTCCACCAAAAGTTCCGTGCCCTTGTCCGTTTTGAACTTGAGTTTCCCATCCGCTTCCTGGCCGGGTATGTCGAGTTCACACAGCGCGTGCACAACCGAGCAAAGCGCGTGCACAGGCGAGCAAATCGCACGCGTGCACAACCGAGGCACCGCCCCGTAACCGTGCCTCACTTGCACCTCAAGCACACCAGGCACGCCGACGATTCATCCCTCCAGAGGTGCGCCAGGTTTTTGTTACTCTGCCTCGAGGCAACCTCTTTGCAAAAGCTAAAGTTCTTAAGATAAGAACATCCACAGATACCACCGTCTGCATGTTCCATGCGACAGTGCTGGGTCACAAAGTAGTCACAGCTTTCAAAGAGTTGGGCTAGCTTTCGAGCACCGGACTAGACGTTGATTCAGCCCTGCGTTGGGAAGAAATCCCTCCACAGGAGATTCCCAGTTGCACCTTCGGTGCTACTGTCGTGGCTATATCTTGAGCAAAAATGTTGGGCCCAAGGTAAGGAAGTGTTCGGCGAACAGGGTCTCATGTGAACCTCCAGCGTCATAGTGCTATGACAATGTGTTGCACCCCGGACCAGGGTTTTGTCCAATGCCCACCGTGGATGGATCCGCGCCAACAAAACACAAGCAAGTACACCAATTAGGTATAGAAACTGACAACAGGTCAACTCCATGTCAACTCCATGTGGCCCATAGGTAGCGGTGCCACCTTTCCAAACATTACTTTAAAATTAAGGCCCCTGGAATCGAAACAGGAACCCTCTTATCGTCGGCGGGGGATGCTTATGACAGGGACATGCACATGCTTTACAGCTGCAAGATCTGGAATTGGTCGTCGAGCCCACGGCCTATTGGTGGGGCAAATCCTTTTTCAAATGCCCCCCAAAAGCCATACATCTTACATTTTAAGTATCTACCACCAAAAGCTTGGCATATCTGTGGTTATGTCGTGCATATCTGTGGTCTTTTGGCAGCCTTTTCAAATCCTTGGGGCCCAAGTCTCGGTTCGCCGGCATTCATGGCTCAGTCATCCTCTGGATCGGGCAGAACCTGGACATGGACGAGACAGGCAGCGGCGGGTGAGTCCGCGGCTGGTGAGGAGCTGCCCCCAAGTTCCAAATGCCAAGGTCCAATTCCAACGATCCAAACGGAGTTGTCCAGAATGCCAAGGCCCAAAAATAGTCCAAGAAAGTCAATGAAAGACGCAGGCAAGATTGAATGGATGCAAATCTAAATGCACGTCAGTGATAGCTGTGACCCCGGCCCGGTGGACCCACGGTATAAATGCATGTGCATACTAACAGCGGCTTCGGGGTTTCGTGGGGGTTTTGTCTTGTTTCGAAGCAGATGTACTTGCACTGAATCATATGAATCATATGAACATATATAAGAACATAGTTTCTGGCTCAAAAATGTAAATGGCAACTGAATTCAAGAGGGAGCATCTGAGGAACCAAAGCACATTGAAATAAAAGGACCGGATAACCCCACATGATAAGTTTTACAAATTTGAGTTGTATATGAACATCACATGGGAGACGGAGTAGTGAGATGAAAAGTCAAGAACGAAGTGTGAGGAGAGAAGGTATATGAGGCGGTTGTGCTAAGACGTGTAGTATAAGTGATGATGTGATGGACGAGGATGAGAAGGAGGGGAGGGAGGAGGTGTGTGTGTGTGTGTGTGGTAAGATGGCGTGCCTGTGTGTGGGTGTGTGATAAAGTGTCTGATGATGTGATGAACAAGGATGAGAGGGACGAGAGAGAGAGAGAGAAATAGAAGGAGGCGGAGAGAGAAGTTTGGACTCTGGATTTTGCGATCAGATCCGCATGAGACCTTCAAAACGTAACACGCTCGAAACGACCATCAAAGCTATCAAGTGGTCTTATCCCGACCACGGCGGGCAGTGCTAGCAGGATGTAAAGTGGAGTGAGTGAGTGAGTGGAGTGAGTGAGTGAGTGAGTGAGTGAGTGAGTGAGTGAGTGAGTGAG